TCTGTTTCCAGTTAAAACGTTGATGTCACTTGTCTAGCTGTAGTTAGTGTGTAGTGTTGCTGTTTGAGCGTAAACAACATCTGCAAAGTTACGACGCTCACAGCAAAGGGAGAGATTCGCTTTAACAGAAATGGCTTTTTAAGGACTACAACAAACGGCTGGTAGAACTACACGAGCTTCCTCCCGGGTTAGTGACATCACACACACCCTAGAATTTACATAACCCCGCCCCCGGAACACGATTTATAGATTATGAGGACAGAATATGCTAATCACTGTCTAGAAGATAACTACACATAAGCTACATAAATGTATCAACTAATCATTCAGAAATGTCCTGTTATATTCTACATTGTCACTTCTTGAGCCTCTCCATCTTTCTGACTTCAGTTTGAACATAAAAGGCTAAGAGTTTTTGATATTTTCAGCGTGTGTGTGTGTGAGGTAAAAGCACATGAGCTGTTGTAGCTCCGCCCCCTGTGCCGGGACCAGCAGCTCATTTGCATTTAAAGGGACACACACAAAACGGTGTGTTTTTGCTCACCCTCAAAAAGTGACAGTTTTAGCATGCTATATGAAAATATCTGTGGGGTATTTTGAGCTAAAACTTCACACACACACTCTGGAGACATCAGACTTATTTAACATCTTGTGAAAAGGGCATTATACCACCCCTTTAATAACTAATGATCTTTGCAACGGAAGTGAATCAATCAAAACTAACTTTATCTGGACAATAACTTTATTCTAGAGCTGCTGTAAAGCCAAACAATCTCTGTTACTGTAATCTCCTATTATCACTGTAAAGCTGCTGTGAAACTCTATATTGTTAAAGCGCTGTATAAATGAAGGAGACTTGACATTGATATCCCAAGATCCCGTGCTCTGCGTTCGGTGACCGTTGAGCAGAGAATAAAGATGGCGTCTGAAGGTTGCGGTGTGTAAATGTTGGTGTAAACGAGCGTTTTCCACTGATGTCCAGAACTGACTGTAGTAATATAACACTGCAATCAGTAGATCATGAACGCGCTGCGTATCAAAGTTACTTACAGTCACTAGAATGTCTAAAGATGACTATTGAAAAAGTGTTTGTTTTTGGTTACACTTTATTCTAAGGTGATGTACTTTACATGTTACTACACCCTAAACCAAACCCTAACCGTAACTCTATAGTAAGTACACGCTTAATTAATACATGCACTTATTTGAGAAAGTACAATGTAACTGAGTAATATTAATTAAGCATGTACTTACTATAGAGTTACGGTTAGGGTTTGGTTTAGGGTTAGTTACTTGTAATTATGCATAATTTACTGTTATTACTATGGTAAGTACATGTAGTAACATGTAACTACGTCATCTTAAAATAAAATGGGTTACACTTTATTTTAAGGTGTCATTGTTACAGTGTAATTATATATTTAAGTACTGAGCAATATTAAGCAACTACATGTACTGACTATAGGGTTAGTGTAGGATTAGGGTTTGGTTGAGGGTTAGTTGCATGTAATTATGCATAATTTACTGTTATTACTATGGTAAGTACATGTAACATATGTAACAAGGACACTGTAAAATAAAGTGTTACCATAATGTTACCAAGTTACCTATATATCATATAAATAATAAAACATTTTGTTAAAAACATGCTGGAAATGTTCATAAAGTAGTACTGATACACACTGAGATCACTTCAGCAAACTCTATATTAAACCATGATCAGTGGATAAAGAGTAAAGTAAAGAGATGAAGATGAAGGGTAGAGTAAAGAGATGAAGGATAGAGTAAAGAGATGAAGATGAAGGGTAGAGTAAAGAGATGAAGATGAAGGGTAAAGTAAAGAGATGAAGATGAAGGGTAGAGTAAAGAGATGAAGATGAAGGGTAGAGTAAAGAGATGAAGATGAAGGGTAGCGTAAAGAGATAAAGATGAAGGGTAGAGTAAAGAGATGAAGATGAAGGGTAGAGTAAAGAGATGAAGATGAAGGGTAGCGTAAAGAGATAAAGATGAAGGGTAGAGTAAAGAGATGAAGATGAAGGGTAGAGTAAAGAGATGAAGATGAAGGGTAGAGTAAAGAGATGAAGATGAAGGGTAGAGTAAAGAGATGAAGATGAAGGGTAGAGTAAAGAGATGAAGATGAAGGGTAGCGTAAAGAGATAAAGATGAAGGGTAGAGTAAAGAGATGAAGATGAAGGGTAGAGTAAAGAGATGAAGATGAAGGGTAGAGTAAAGAGATGAAGATGAAGGGTAGAGTAAAGAGATGAAGATGAAGGGTAGAGTAAAGAGATGAAGGGTAGAGTAAAGAGATGAAGGGTAGAGTAAAGAGATGAAGATGAAGGATAGAGTAAAGAGATGAAGGGTAGAGTAAAGAGATGAAGATGAAGGGTACCGTAAAGAGATAAAGTGGAAAGGGTAGAGTAAAGAGATGAAGATGAAGGGTAGAGTAAAGAGATGAAGATGAAGGGTAGAGTAAAGAGATGAAGATGAAGGGTAGAGTAAAGAGATGACGATGAAGGGTAGCGTAAAGAGATAAAGATGAAGGGTAGCGTAAAGAGATGAAGATGAAGGATAGAGTAAAGAGATGAAGATGAAGGGTAGCGTAAAGAGATAAAGATGAAGGGTAGAGTAAAGAGATGAAGATGAAGGGTAGAGTAAAGAGATGAAGATGAAGGGTAGAGTAAAGAGATGGAGGGTAGAGTAAAGAGATGAAGATGAAGGGTAGAGTAAAGAGATGAAGATGAAGGGTAGAGTAAAGAGATGAAGATGAAGTGTAGAGTAAAGAGATGAAGATGAAGGGTAGCGTAAAGAGATGAAGATGAAGGGTAGAGTAAAGAGATGAAGATGAAGTGTAGAGTAAAGAGATGAAGGGTAGAGTAAAGAGATGAAGGGTAGAGTAAAGAGATGGTAGAGTAAAGAGATGAAGATGAAGGGTAGAGTAAAGAGATGAAGATGAAGGGTAGCGTAAAGAGATGAAGATGAAGGGTAGAGTAAAGAGATGAAGATGAAGGGTAGAGTAAAGAGATGAAGATGAAGGGTAGAGTAAAGAGATGAAGATGAAGGGTAGAGTAAAGAGATGAAGATGAAGGGTAGAGTAAAGAGATGAAGATGAAGGGTAGAGTAAAGAGATGAAGATGAAGGGTAGAGTAAAGAGATGAAGATGAAGGGTAGAGTAAAGAGATGAAGATGAAGGGTAGCGTAAAGAGATGAAGATGAAGGGTAGAGTAAAGAGATGAAGATGAAGGGTAGAGTAAAGAGATGAAGATGAAGGGTAGAGTAAAGAGATGAAGATGAAGGGTAGAGTAAAGAGATGAAGATGAAGGGTAGAGTAAAGAGATGAAGATGAAGGGTAGAGTAAAGAGATGAAGATGAAGGGTAGAGTAAAGAGATGAAGATGAAGGGTAGAGTAAAGAGATGAAGATGAAGGGTAGAGTAAAGAGATGAAGATGAAGGGTAGAGTAAAGAGATGAAGATGAAGGGTAGAGTAAAGAGATGACGATGAAGGGTAGCGTAAAGAGATAAAGATGAAGGGTAGAGTAAAGAGATGAAGATGAAGGGTAGAGTAAAGAGATGAAGATGAAGGGTAGAGTAAAGAGATGAAGGGTAGAGTAAAGAGATGAAGGGTAGAGTAAAGAGATGAAGATGAAGGGTACCGTAAAGAGATAAAGTGGAAAGGCTAGAGTAAAGAGATGAAGATGAAGGGTAGAGTAAAGAGATGAAGATGAAGGGTAGAGTAAAGAGATGAAGATGAAGGGTAGAGTAAAGAGATGAAGATGAAGGGTAGAGTAAAGAGATGAAGATGAAGGGTAGAGTAAAGAGATGAAGGGTAGAGTAAAGAGATGAAGATGAAGGGTAGAGTAAAGAGATGAAGATGAAGGGTAGAGTAAAGAGATGAAGATGAAGGGTAGAGTAAAGAGATGAAGATGAAGGGTAGAGTAAAGAGATGAAGATGAAGGGTAGAGTAAAGAGATGAAGATGAAGGGTAGAGTAAAGAGATGAAGATGAAGGGTAGCGTAAAGAGATGAAGATGAAGGGTAGAGTAAAGAGATGAAGGGTAGAGTAAAGAGATGAAGGGTAGAGTAAAGTGATGAAGATGAAGGGTAGAGTAAAGAGATGAAGGGTAGAGTAAAGAGATGAAGATGAAGGGTAGAGTAAAGAGATGAAGATGAAGGGTAGAGTAAAGAGATGAAGGGTAGAGTAGGACAGGTGAGGATTCCAAGGATAAGAAGAGCGTGTCAAAGCATGTAGAAACATGACAAACACACCAGGAATTTGAGAGGGTTACTCCACACTAATGTTATTAATGATGAGGTTACTCCACACTAATGTTATTAATGATGAGGGTTACTCCACACTAATGTTATTAATGATGAGGTTACTCCACACTAATGTTATTAATGATGATGTTACTCCACACTAATGTTATTAATGATGAGGTTACTCCACACTAATGTTATTAATGATGAGGGTTACTCCACACTAATGTTATTAATGATGAGGTTGCTCCACACTAATGTTATTAATGATGAGGTTACTCCACACTAATGTTATTAATGATGAGGTTACTCCACACTAATGTTATTAATGATGAGGGTTACTCCACACTAATGTTATTAATGATGATGTTACTCCACACTAA